TGAGGAGGAGTACGTCCCAGGGAGCCTCTAGAGTTAAGTAAGTGGGTGAGAGACCGGATGCTGCTGGCATGTCTTTTGCGGCTTTGAAAACGGCAGGTGTTCTTTCCCCAGGAAGTTAGGAGTGAGTGAGTTGCTTCTCAGACATTTCAGAGCTTCAGGGGTAGATGTTTGATTCCCTTCCTCCCTCCGGCTAATAGCAAACACTATGGATGGTTCATGACCCCCCATCTTCCCAGCTAGAGACGGTCGAGCTGTGGAAACCATAGCTTTCCTCTCTGGGATCCAGGATAAGTCAATCACAGGGACCAGTCTGACGGTATCACTTGATATTGAAATTGGACTGAAAATATACGTGAGGTCTGAGAACAGTGTGTCAATGTCTGTGCTGGTAACAATTTTGACTTCAGTTTATCTTTCAGCTTGTCCACTAAGGTGGCCCAGGAATGAGAGCTACTTGTGAGCCTTTTTTCTTTAGAAAATGATCCTGATGTGCTCATTCCTCTTTTCTTGTACATTATTCATGCTGGTTACTTCATTTCCTTGTTCTGTGCCTCCCTGTGGACTAGCGTGCCCAACTAATTTCTGAAACAGGTAAATTGCTGTGATTCTTCCGGATTATTCCATAGTGAATGTGGTTTTCGTTAATCCATCTTGGAGTCAAAATGGTAATGCTGGGGCCTTTTTGTTAGTATCTTTTGGGGGCAGACTCAGAGCTCACCTCATTTTGCACGACATTTCCATAATGTTGGCTGTTGAATTCTGTAGATAATGGTGTATCTGTTCAGGACCAACGCTGTAGGTTCCTTGAATCTTACATGGGGTGGGTAAGCTGCTATTGAATTTTTAATATTAACATTTTTTACTAGTAATGTCAACACATTGATGTATTTGCTACTCTAAAGGGTAAAATGAATCCCTTTTCCTCAGTAGTGCAAAGAGGAGATTATTACAAAAGGCATTCAGATCATGACAGTGGCAAGCCTTCCAGTAGAGGGAAAAGATCTTCAAAACTGTCCTCCACCATTGCAGAAGAGGAAGTGAATGCAATTGGGCACAGGAAGTCACAGCCAACAAATGGTTAGAGCCTTCGATTATCATCCCTCACTGTCCCACAGCTTCTGAACTGGCACTAACAAAAACAAACTTTAATTGAGTCACTTCCATCCTGGGACTGGGGCAGGGATTATTCATACAACTGATTTATTTTTTTCTCAGTGACAACAGGATGGTCCTTCCCTTGGGGGCAAAACATATTGACCTAAAAATCTAAAATTAGAAATTCTTAGGAGGATCAAGTTACTTTGGAGTTTGGTGACTTATCCTTGCAAATTTTTGTGATCTTGGAGGTTTGTATTTATATTTGGGGTCATGTCTTATTCTCTTCCTTTATCTCTTTACTATTCTATTAGAGAGAAACTGGGATGGGATCAGAAATTCTTAAAGGAACACAGTTTATAGCTTTAGAGAATATTGGCCTAAGCCCTTACCTTACACTCTTTCAGGAAGAATCAGTAAAAAGCCAGTGACTCAGGGCAGACCTTGGGTCCTGTGCCTGATCTTTCAGCGGACATTTTATGACACTCTAGTAAGAAAACAAAAGTACCAATCAACTTTTCAACCTCAAGAAAAAATTTATACTATTTTACAGCAGTTACTCAATGACTTTTGTCTTCCATTTGACACTATAGTAAGTTCAGGTGAGGACAGTCCCAGGAGACAGTTCTCTGACTCAGCAGTGCTTGTTCTAAAACTTCCCAGTGGAGATGAGAGTTGATTTGAGATCTAATGACAAAGTATTACACCATCCCTCTTGTTAATAACTGTTAAGTGATTTTTCAAGTCAGATTTATAAAGGAAATTCTAGTATCACAAAAGAAAAAGAATATAAAAGGGACTTTTATATTCCTTAAGGGACTTCCTCCTTCCTCCTGTATAATTTTATCAGAAGTTAACACGTGAGTGTACAACAGTGTCCATGGCCCCCGAGTCCAGCCATAACTCCACATCCTTCACCACCTCCTGGGAGAACACCCCAGAAGGCCAGGCAATGGAAGTGACCTTATAATAGGGATAATTTCCCTTTATTGCAAAAGGCTAAACCATTCTCAAATTTTAGCAGTTTATTGTTGATGGAAAACCTCTTATGACCCACTTTATGGCTTAATAGCCCAATGATTTATGATTTCTCAAGGGAGAACTATTGTCTTTGAGGACTTTCCTTGACAGATATAAAAACACAACTAAGAAATCATTTATGAGCTTCTCACCAGCAAAAACGTTTGGAATTAGCCGTCTTGGCCAGTAACACTGGGTGAGCCACAGACTCTGACTTGCCTGGCGGTCTGGCGCTCGCTAGGTAGATGACAGGGTGGAGCCTACGGTGTAGAGCAAAGTCTATAGAGCAGATAGGACTAGAACATTGCGTGAGGGCCAGGTAGCACCTGCCTTAGACAAAACCAACAGACTTGGTCCTGCACTTTTCAAGTATTTCCTGTGTAGTAAATGTGTTCATGGACACATGGTTGTAATAATGCTTTGCAAGAGAGTTTTCTCTGATATTTTCAGGCAAATCTGTTATCTTTAAGTCATAGAAAAATTACATAAAGGAACACCTAAGATATTTTTTTCTGAAGAGAGGCAGAATTATTTTTTAGAGTGTATTAAATCAGAAGCTCTGTCTCTCTCGATAAGAACACCCAAGGTTCCACAGATGTTTCTAGATTTTGGAAGTTTACATTTCAACTATTGTATCAGTCAGTATAAATAACTGTGTTGATTTATATCACTTGATGATTAACAAAGCTCCCTTGATGCAGTGTAACAGTCCTTCTCCAAGATGCCACTAAAAGCATTTTATACCACACACAGGTGGAGAGACCACACAGATCATCCAGGAAGGTATGAGAGTAAAAATAAGATTAAGACAGAGATAAGCCAAATCCTAGAAAGGCAAGAAATTCTATGTCTTGCTCAGATTCTTTCATGACCTCTTCAACTAAAAATTCTCATGGTGATGGGCTACATCCAATTTTGATGGAATTAACGGGGACCATCTTGTATTTGCTTTTTATGCTGTGACTTCTTGAAATATTGATAGGAACCCCAAAAGTGATTTTTACAGGAGCTTCAATTAAAGTAATTTTATGTATAATATTTCGATCTTGTTTTGTTAGTGCCGAGTCCCAGCACTTGTCTTCACCTTTGAGAACTGCGTAGCAGTCTGCTTTCTGAATAGTTCCTTGTTAACAAGTAGCACTTAGCAGAACAATTCTATTAAACTGTGGTGTGTACTTTAAATGTTTTCAGAGCAACTTTGTTTACGCTAAAACAGCTCTCTTATTTTCTTAAATCAAGTATCTGTGAACCAAACAAAGGCGCTTGTTCTCAAAGCATGCTGCATAATTTTAATTGTGTGGCTATTTTAATATTGACTTGATAGGTAGAATGCTTATTTTCTTTTTCTGGACGTATTTGTAACTGCATCTTTTGAATTTTGTATCATTTCCTCTCTCTGTTTATAAGCTGTGATGTTTTCATTAGAGTATGTCCTATCTTCTTGAAGGAAATAGTTGATTTTGTCTCTGTATGCATTGTAATGTATCCACTTTGTACCGGCCATCTTATTCTGAGATTCCTTTTCATGTATCACTTGCTGCTTCCATAATCCAACCTCTAGCCAACAAATATTTGGCTGTGGCTTATATTCTGTAAGCCGGTGCTCTGTTCCCCACCCCCATCCTTTTTTTTTAACCAGATCTAGGTTCTCCTACCACTCTGTGAATTCTTCAAAAGAAATTTAATGGTTGGTTGGCACTTATGGCTCTTGCCAGAAAGTATTAAAAAAAAAATCAGGGCCAACTACTGAATATTATTTTAAGGTCATAATGTTTTTCTTGAAATAGGGATGTCAGTGGAGCTGAAAATGGAGAAAAGCTGAAATTTTCGTATGAATTTCTTATTCTAAATTTATATGCACATTTCAGAAGCCTTAATTTTGCATATATATGCAAAATCAGATCAAGAATGACGGTGTTCACACGTGCGCCTCTTTCTGCCAGTTATCCACACTGTTGACAGGATGTGAATATACATGGAGTGTTTGTGTTGAATAACTGCCTGTTTACTTGAAGTATCTTTTATAATTTTCGTGATACTTGGAGTGGTAATAAATACATGTATAGAGGCACTCCATTTTAATGTATGAATTTTTGCATTTAAGCAGTCTGATTTTTTTAAAGCACTATATAAAGTCAAGCATTAAGTCAGGCTGCTTAAAAAGGAGGTTCATCTGAATAAGTCTGAATTTTAAAGATATTCTGAGAGAATTTCTGGAGTTTTAAGTTTCAAGCAGACACAATTTTATTTAGACTATCTGTTAGTGGGAACTTGACCAAACCCCCTTCATAATTGTAATCAGCATCCTAATTATATGCAATCGAATAGTTGCTGCTTAAGGGCTGGAAAGCAAACTTGACAAAGAACGTTCCTGTTTACACTCATTACCTGGAATAATATTCAGTGCTTTGGCTTCCAAATTCAACAGATTCAGTGGTGTGACTTGACTTCCTTGCCCTCGCCATGCCTCAAATTTTCCTATCCAAGAGTGGTGCCTAGCTGTAATCCTAAGGAAATCGTCAACCTGGTACTAGTCTCATTATCACATTCACAAATTGGTCGAGTTGAATCAGTGGACTCGACTATTTTTAGACTGAATTTTAAAGTGTCACCACCATGGTGAACTGCTTTGACAGTCCTCCAGAAAGAGCAAGTCATTAATCCTCTCAGTGACAATGTCAGACAAATGAAAATTTTTGCTTTTAGGACTGGTACCAGGGCGGGTCTATATCACCGACTTAGCAAACATTAACAACAGGCAGGTTTCAGTCTTCTCCCCTGCCCTCTGCCCACCCGCAGCCTGGAGGACTCAGAAGTTAGTGTCACTTAGATGGACACTGTAGGAAAGTGTACCTTTTGCAGGATGATTCCTGTGTTGGTTTTCTGTGAATTCCAGTTAGCCCTGGTCCAGAGTTATCTCAGTTTTTATCTGTGACAGACATTCTTGATTACATCAATTTCTCCATTTTTAGAGAGTACTGATGTCATATCCTGTAACATCAATCGGGCCTGGGATTTTGAGGAGACTAAAATATTGGGAAGGATGAAAAGCTATTTATTGTAAGAATTAATACATTTGCTCTGAAGACAAATAAGTCATGTATCACCATATTTATTTCTTCCTTTGAACTTACAGTGTTGGAAATTTTTGAGTCACTTGATACAGAGGGAAAACTTAGTCTGGTTTTAAAATGGAATGTATAAAATTTTCTAGCAGATTTCACTAGTAATGCTCTACTTTGGGTTAGATCATTGCAATTTCAAGATGAAAATATGATAAACCTTCTATACACAGAAGTTGAGAACTTAAGTACTTTGTGTATTACTATCAAATTGGTTTTGTGATAAAGAGCAAACTATTTATAGAAAATTATTTATTTTCCCCCCAAATTGGCCTGTTAACAACTTTCAAAGGACCAAATACATTTAATTTTTTAACCCAATTCAAGCTAAAAACTAAAAATCAACTATAATATTTATTTGTTTTCCCTCCAAGAATGTGCTCAAAACTGTTGGGTAAAAAGTCAAAAATTACTTACTTGTATGAGGAGATTGAAAGGTTTATCCTCAGAATTTTGGGTAGTTTCAATTTGGTGTAATTAACTAAAAATTTAATTTTTTATCGCCTTGAGCAGAATCTGGCCCTGAGAACAAGATTGGCAAGAGAAGGATTTTGTTATGTTTGCATTTTGACTATTAGGTTTCATGAGCTTTCACTTCCTGAAATTCTCTTTAGTGGATTAAACATTCAAGTATCCAGTTCCTGGCAAGTTTTTTTGTTTTCTGTTTTTTTTTTTTAAGCAGAAAGCTAAAATCAAAATGATTAGAGATATCAGATGCATCCTCTCGCTTTTTCCAGGACTAGGTTCCTGGCTAGATCATTTTAACTTCTGGGTGGCGAGGTAGCTGGACCCTTCTTTAAAGCCACACAAAGTGGGTGGGTTTGGTAGTTTTAGCTTAAGTAGTGTCTCTACCCTAGACTTGATTAGTAACATTTAATAACACTTAACAGCCATGCTGCAGTGTGGCATCTGAACCTTTCCCTGGGTACAATAGCAGTGAAGCTATGCTCTAGTTGGAAAGAACATGGGCTTTGGAGAGAGAGGATTTTTTAAAACCTGGAATCAGGATTTAAACCAAATCTATCTGGTAGCCGTGAAGAGTAGCAGTGGTAACACCGAGTGCCCGACAGCACACACCACAGAGGCTCAGTGCTGGTCACTGTTCTCTCATCAGAGCTTTGTAGAGACTCAGTAGAGCCTCCATAGTTTGTGACCAGAACAGGCAACAAAAACGGTAATTCTTTTACCTGGAGACTGGCTCCTACAGGACTGAATACGTCAACGGCAGTATTAATTCATTTCCGTGAGACTTTTTTCATTTCCTAGGGAGTGAGACTGAGGTTCTCTGAGACATAGAAAGGGGCCCATCCTTATGTCCTGTCCCCAGAACAGGGATGGCCACCCCTAAATGGTGTGCAGAAGACATCAGATGGAACCCCTGGCCAGCACTGCCTTCTTGGGCTCTGTTTCCTGTGCTGCACCAGAGTGCAGCTGTGACCAAGGAGGTCAGCTGGGGCAGAGTGGCTACCCGGTGCTCCTCCTTCCTGGCATCTCCCTTTCCTCCCACCCCACCCCCCATCCTCACCCTCAAATCCTCAACCACGTCTCTGAGAGGCTCAACCTCTCATAGACTGGGGTTTTTTCTGTTTTCCTGTATTGTGTGTTTTGTTGGTTTAATTTCTGTCTAGAGTCTTGAAATGTCACTAGAAAGTCACTTCTGAGAAAGTCCACCCCGAACCCTCCCCCTCTTCAGGGCTCCCATATCTTACCCCATTCCTGGTCAGGCTGCTGGCATCTCCTTGTTCATGGATGATGATGACTTCCTTTCCTTTCTGTTCCAGTGTCGAGGAGAAGCTGGGGCCAGCAGGCCCAGGAGTGTCCAGAACACAAGCAGTGGTCCTCCAGTAAAGATGGCCATCAGGGCAGCAAGTCTAGCGACTCTGGGGAAGAAGCAGAGAAGGAGTTTATTTTTGTGTAAAGGGACCCGGGCTGCAGACATCTTGCTGCACGCAGTGCTTTTGTCAGCCAGTAGAGGGCAACACCGCTTCCTACTCTCTAAGTGTTCTTCTCTGGGTGCTTTGTTTTCTTTTTCCTTCTTCCTTTGCTTTTTTTTCCCCAAACCCAAAACAGATCCATTTCTTGGTAATCAAAAGTACGTGTGTTTGATCTGCTCCCAACCCTTGGCATTTGATTTCTCTCCATTCCTTCATATGCCTTCAACGAATGCCAGCAATCATCCCACGGGCCCTACTTGAATTTCTCTGAGGCAGCTACAGTTTGCCCTGGAAGGTAACTGGATACACACTCACAAGTAACACCATCCCGCTGACCGGAGGGTACCACTTCATGTACCTGTGTCAAAGCTGCACTTGATAAAGCAATTTATTCTTGCTGTATGCAATTGCACATTGTAATTATATTAACAGAGCACACTAATAAGTAACTTGTATAAATTATATATATTAGATCTTGGGTATGGTTTATACCTTCTCCCATGGGGAACTTCTTCCTTCCTGATGTGGAATTGTACATTTAAACTTGGTCGGTGATCTTTGCAACACCATCAACAAGCGAGTGAAGGACAGTGAGAGGCCCACACCTGCTTCTACCATGTGCCCAGGTTAATGTATATAGTTGATGGGAATGAGGTTTTATGAATATTCGTGGTTTTTGAAGGCCTTTAATTTCTGTCTGCATATTAGCTTTTATGTGTGATTAAGAGAATACTTTGACACCTGTAAAAAAAATTCAAAACACTACTTTTTAAGACATTTCACAAATACTCACTTACATTACAGGCTGAAGGTATTTTATTCATATGTATATTTATACCAATAAAATGATTTTACAAGTGGAATTTTGACTTTCTATAGTGACTTATTTTAAAGTTAGGATTGGCTTGTGGTGGTGAACTTTTTTTCTGAAATCCAGAATAAAATCATAGTTCCCAGATAATCAAAAACCTATTACCTTCCAAGTAAATGCAAATTGCTAATTCCATTGCCTGCGCTCACCTTTGGGGAAAAGATAAAATCATCAAAAGGTTGTACTGAGTGTCTAGAGAGCCCACTCAGACCAGATGTGGGGGGCCTGATGATGGAGTCGGGGTCAGAGTCTCTCAGACTCCCAAGACTCTGAGATGAGCTGAACTACTGCTCGGAGGGGTCTGGGAATCTTCCCATAATACTAAATTACACATCGTGACTTTCCTATTTGTGCCACATGCAAGCCCTAAACTGAGAATGAGGCTCTCAGTAATTTAGACCCCCCATCTCAGGTATACTGAACAGGGGCCAAAAAAATCCAGGAATCACTTTTTTGATTTGAGGATATATCCATTGTGTGGCCAGATTGGGCAGGCTGACAATTCTATTTTGTTTTTTCTTAGCTTAGCATTGGTTGGCCTGGGTCTACTTAGCACATTGGCCACCAACTGGGCAGGCATGTGTCAGGTGTTGGAAAGTCACATTGCAATTAAAAATGGCTGCTGAGGGGGGAGGGTAGAGCTGGTACAGTATGTGCTTAGCATGCTCGAGGTCCTGGGTTTAATCCCCAGTACCTCCATTAAAAAAAAATTAAATACATAAACTATGAATAGAGACAGAGAATACTATAAAAAGGAAATAGAAACTATAAAGGGGAGCCAATTAAAAATAGAAAACTCAATGGCTGAGATAAAAGCTAAGCTACTAAGGCTGTCAAAAGCAGACTAGATAATGCAGAGAAATAAATAATTTAGAAGACAGGGTAACAGAACTCACCCAATCAGAACAGCAGACAGAAAAGCAAGCAAAAACCAATGAAAACAATATAAAGTGTGCCAAGAGATAAAATTGTCATTATATGTGGATGACATGATACTATATATAGAAAACCCTAAGCTCTACACGAAAACTACTAGAGCTGATAAAAGAATTCAGCAAGGTAGCAGGACACAAGATTAACATACAGAAATCAGTGGCATTTCTTTACACTAACTTAAATATCAGAAAAGTAAAGTAAAGAAACAATCCCTTTTAAAATTGTATCCAAAAAAAAAAAACTTAGGAATAAACCTGACCACAGAGGTGAAAGACTTATACATGGAGAACTAAAAAACACTGATTAAGGAAATTAAAGATGACTTAAAGAAATGGAATGATATACTATGCTTAGATTGGAAGAATCAATATTGTTAAAATGGTCATACTGCCCAAGGAAATCTACAGATTTAATGCGATCTCTGTCAAATTACCCATGACATTTTTCACAGAACTAGAACAAATGATCCTAAAATTTATATGGAATCACAAAAGACCCAGAATTGCCAAAGCAATATTGAAGAAAAAGAACAAAGCTGGAAGAATAACCCTCTCAGACTTAAGACAATAGCACAGAGCTACAGTAATCAGAAACATGTGGTACTGGTACAAAACCAGACATACGGATCAATGGAACAGAATAGAGAGAGCACAGAAAGAAACCACAAACTTTTGGTCAATTTATCTTTGACAAAGGAGGCAAGAACATATAATAAAGACAGTCTCTTCAGCAAATGATATTGGGAAAACCGGATAGCTGCATGTAAATTAATGAAGTTAGAATCCTCCTTCACACCATACACAAAAACAAACAAAATGGCTTAAAGACTTAAACATAAGACAAGACACTATAAACCTCCTAGAAGAAAACACAGACAAAACATTCTGACATAAATCTTAGCAATGTTCTCCTAAGGGCAATCTACTCAGGTAATAGAAATAAAAGCAAAAATAAACAAATGGGACCTAATTACACTTAGAAGCTCTTGCACAGCAAAGGAAATCGTAAGCAAAACAGAAGGACAACCTACAGAATGGGAGAAAATATTTGCCTATGATATGACTGACAAAGGTTTAATTTCCAGAATATATATACAGCTCATACAACTTAATAAAAAAAAATCCAATCCAAAAATGGGCAGGAGACCTAAGCAAGCAATTCTTCAATGAAGATGTACGAATGGCCAACAGACATAGGAAATAATGCTCAATACCACTAATTATTAGAGAAAAATCAAATCTACAATGAGGTATCACCTCACACCAGTTAGAATGGCCATCATTCAAAAGTCCACAAACGATAAATGCTACAGAGGGTGTGGAGAAAAGGGAACCCTCCTACACTGCTGGTGGGAATGCAGTTTGGTGCAACCATTATGGAAAACACCATGGAGGTTCCTCAAAAGACTAAAAATAGACTCATCATATGATCCAGCAATCCCACTTCTGGGTATACATCTGGAGGGAACTCTAATGTAAAAAGATACATGCACCCCAGTGTTCACAGCAGCACTATACACAATATCCAAGACATGGAAGCAACCTAAATGTCCATCTGACAGATGACTGGATAAAGAAGCAGTGGTATATTTATACAATGGAATACTACTCAGCCATAAAAAGAATAAAATAATGCCATTTGCACAACATAGATGGACCTAGAGATTGTCATTCTAAGTGAAGTAAGCCAGAAAGGGAAAGAAAAATACCATATACCATATTTGGAATCTAAAAGAAAAAAAAGAGGGCACTAATGAACCCATCTACAAAACAGAAACAGATTCAGACAAGGTAAACAATCTTATGGTTACCAGGGGAAAGGGGGTGGGAAGGGATAAATTTGGGAGTTTGAGACTTGCAAATGTTAGCCACTATATATAAAGAGGTTAAAAAAACAAATTTGTTCTGTATAGCACAGGGAACTATATGCAATATCTTGTAATAACCTTCAAAGAAAAAGAGTATGTAAACGAATATATATATACATGCATGACTGGGACACTGTGCTGTACACCAGAAACTGACACATTATAACTGACTGTACTTTAATTAAAAAAAAAACAAAACCACTCTTCTCTCAGGTCCTCAGAGGAGGAGAGAGTCAAGTCAGGCTGTTTCCCACTTCTTAGATCAGAGAGTTTAAGGGGACTTTTGACCCTTTGGTGGCTTCATTCACATCGTGGCCTGGCCAGTCCTGGGAGCCTGTTCTCTGAGTGATCAAGTTATTTTGAGACTGGCTCCTCTCATACCATCCTTGACCCACTACGTGACCTTATCCTCTCCCAAGGCCACCATTCCCACCTTCGTGTTGTTCCCCTCATCTCTTGCTTCAGTCCACTCTATTCAGCATCAAAGGATGAGCCCGTGGGCATCAGAAACTCTGCCCAATACCAATGATCCGTGAGTGCCCAGTGACCACGTGGCATGCCCAGGAGCAACAAAGTCAAATTTTGTAACCAGAGAGATTTCCAGGACTCACAAGACTTAACTTGCACTGGAGATATGGGGCCACAGGTGCCATGCCCTTACATTTCCATAGGGCAGAAACTGATGTTGGCAAAAGGTGGCTGAGCTTGCTCTATCCCATCCCAGATACCTTGATGGGACCCTCATTGCCCACCATGGCAAAGGAAAAGCATGACTTTCTCCCTTCCAGGCCAGAGGGCAGGGAGGACCGTTTGCAAACAAGGACATGATTTGCTGGCCTGAATTGGTGGGCTCCTGGAGAGTGCCCCCAAGCCAAAGCCAGGCACACTACAAAAGAGACCAGCTCCTCCAGCTGCCACTGATTTTCAAAGTTCTCAACAGGATCCTTAACCTGCAGGTCACAAGCCAGGTAGGATTCAAGGCATCTGTGAGCTTGAATTGTGAAAAAATATAAATTTTGATTTTCATTAACCTTATTTGCATATTAGCAGATCCTTCAATTATGAACATATACAACATGCCACGGTTGTATTAGCAGCACCTGGGATATTTTCCTATCAGTTTACAATCATTGCAGGCATTGCAAAATATCCTTCACATTCATCATGACTCAAAATTAATGGTAGTTATGAGATATCCTGCTAGATTGTGTTATTTAATAAATTGACAAAGAAGCACATTCACTTCTAACAGATTCCTTCCGCTCAGACTACGGACAGAGTGTGAGATGTTTAACGGGCACAATACAGGGAAGATCATGGCCCTTCGGCAAAACACCAAACAGTAACAGTACTGTTAAATAATAGCACCTCTGCCTGTGGGTTCTGTCCTGGTCTCCAGTCCCACACCACCTGTGCACCCTCAGTCCCCAAAGTGGGTGCTGCATACTGGAAAGGCAGCATCATAGACCACAAGACTAATATAATGCTGCCTTTCTCCAGTAGGGGGCCTGGATTAATTACTTTAGTGGTCTTAGGTGGGGCCCGTTGAAATCAGTTAAGTCCCTTTCTAATCCTCTTCCCCATGAGGCAGCAAACCCAAACCATGGGGACTTAACTGCCAGTCCCAGAGCCGTATTATAATGTGCTGCCCTGGGGTAGAACCTGTGTCAGGGGCAAAAATAAGTTATTGTCCTGACCAATAGTTGACAACAGTCCATCAGTGGCCAATAACCGAACTCAGATGGTCAGGTGGGAAGCCCCATGAAAAGACTGGCAGGACCCCCAGGCAGTGCCACTACTTTCCCGCTGGCGCCATCTGGTTCCCCAGCTCGGTGGCATTATCTCACCTTTGTGCTTTGGTAAAACAGCTTGCTTCTAGGAAAATGAAACTTACCCCTAACATGCTATTGGTTCCCAAAGCTCACTCCTGATTGGTCCATTTCTAACACTTCATTTGCATATGGCACAAAAATGGAAACCTAAAACTCTGTAAAAGCCTGTGTAAGCCTACAGACGGGGTCCAGAGCTTGGAGTGTTAACTCCTCTGGCCTGCCGGAATAATAAACGTGAGTTCTCCAACCCTTCAAGTGTCGCTTGGTCTCTCACAGGGATTCAGGATGCTGTAACACTTTGCTGTAACAATGGCACTGACTAGTTGCCCCTAGGTGAACATGGCATAGGCATTGGGA